CTTCTCTGGGAAGAACTTCTTCCTGATATCTAATCTAAATCTCCCCACTTTCAATTTAAACCCATTACCCCTTGTCCTGTCACTTCAGGCCCGTGTAAAAAGTCCCCCCCAGCTTCTGTAGATCCCCTCAGTGCCTCATTTGTTTCCCCTGTAAAATGAGAATGTGAATGCTATCTAATGTCATGTTGGTGTTAAGACTATTATATGTTGCAGTTTGTAATACCCTTCCAAAATGGCAGGATAGAGGTGAGGCCATAACTCTTCAGTTAGAATTTAGGAAACATGTCCAACCACACAGTTGATAGTGAGGGAATATACTGAGGAGCACACATTATAAAGGTGTGCAAAAGGATGGTGCTGGTGGTTTTACACTCTTGCTTCTGATTAAGAGACACAAACATTAACCAGCACAAAGTAGTTGAAAAATTTTGAACTGTCTTGCATATTTTGGGCACCTTTCTGTAAAATTAGAAACGTTTTTTAAAATATATTGTATAAGCAGCTTTCACTGCAATAGCCATGGCCCCATTACACACTAGAAAACAATGTTTTTATTGCAAAATCAAGATCACGTGCTGCCCAAGTGGAGAGTGCACCTGGGAATGTAAAAGATTTTTAAATTATTCTCGTAAGTTTTTATTACAAACACATTTTTCATACAAGGCCGTGTGTGTCAGCTGAGTGAGTCTAAGATTGCCCTGTTTCTTGGGGATGATAAAATAATATTTCAGGATGAGAGAAGTGTGTAAATATGTTGAAAAAAAAAATAACATCCTGCTGCCAGAAGAGTGAAAATGGAGGTGCTGAGAGTGTGTGTGTATGTATCCATTGCCACAGTGCAATAGGAAGGACTGCTATGCAAGGACCACAAACAAAATTGGAAATCTGGATAACTGATTGCACTTGCAGGCAACGCAAGCTACAGCTATTTGTCATTTTTGAAAAACACTGCATGTTTAGGCATGTCTGGTGCTCAGTGGTACATCACAGCATCCACTACGCACCGAGTGGTTTGGCAAATTGGGAAGAATATTGCGTTGCTATTCAGAGAGGCTAATCGTGAGCGGAAATGGTTTTATTTTTTGGTAGGCACATTAAAGTCTCCTTCTTTAGTCCCAAGGGCAGATTTAAACAAGTGCAATAGCCTTTTCATGACTGTCTGCTGAGGTCTTTTAAAATGGATCATTCACTGATGGAAGTTTTAGATGGCTTTGTTCTGTCTCAAAAATTGTATTGTATTGTATTGTATTATTTGAGATTTATCTTTCAGGTTTTCCTCTTGACCTTCTTGCATTCAGTGATGTTCCTCTGAGAGCTATCCTGATGTTTCCCAAAATGGAAATCTAGTTCAATCCCTGTGGGAAATGTTGAATATCAATTCATCAGTGTGAAAATAAGTTCATAAGACTCCTGCAGCATTAACATTGTAGTATTGAGGCTAATGATTTTTCTCCTCAAAGAGCCCAAGAAAACAGAGAAGTTTTTTTATCTTTTAATAGGTATAGAGCTAAGGCACTGATTGCATGAATTCTCCAAGGCGATGCAAAAAAAAAAAAAAAAAAAAAAATTACAGCAGTGCTGGGAAGAGAACCTTTATCTCTGGAACACATAAAAGATTCCGTATTCCATAAGAACATCTTGCCTTGCCTTGCCTAGGCTTTTTTATGGTGTTGCTTTATAGTGCTTTTATAAATCAGCTGATCTTCAACAAATAAGATCACATGTGGATTTTTTTGCCAGAAGCTGATTTTTTTCACTATTAAAAGTAAAGTCAAACTTATGGTTGAGACATGAAATTGAATTTCGCTAGAAATAATAAGTTTTTCAAAGAAATCTTCTGTCTGCTCCTCAACCACAAAATAATTGGGGATAGTTTATAAATCAAAAAATAGAAAAGAAAGAATTTTAGGGCAAAGGATGATGGAGGCTTGTACTGTGTAAGGGAATCTTAGCTGTATTTGCAGTTGGGAAGCCCACCTGGGAACCAGGGCTGCAGACCAGCTACAGTGTATATATGGGGGATCCTTCCAGGTGCTAGAGTTGGATATAAGGCTGTGCCTACAGCAGTGCTCAGGTGGGGCTTGAGCCCATGGGCAGAGTGTGGGTGGAGGCCCCGGGTGAGGCTGGTCATGGTCATTCAAGGGCTGTTGGTGCACTCATGGCTCTGACAGTCACTATGGGCATGTTGTCCTGGTGGATTCAAGAATGCAGAAGAATGTCAAAAAACTGTGTTCTGGGCTGTAGGTTGTACCTAGTAGCTGCAGATTAAGGACAGCAGTGAGAAGAAAACCACTGCGACTGAGGAACAGTGCAAAACCATGGATATCCCAGACCTAGATCTAGAATGCGTCCTGGTCATCGTGGTAAGTGCTTCAATAGAGTGAGAAGAGAGAAAAGTGTCAGAGTACAGAAAGACTGACACATTAACTCTTGCCAAAGTGAAGGCAACAGCAGGACTGAAAGATACTGGCCTCCTACCAACACCCAAAATTTCTGATAAGAGACCAGCGTGAAGACCAGCGTGGTTCTGAAGACCAGCATGCTAAGTGGCTTACTGTGTCAAAACAGGGAGATAACCTTTTCTTTTTTTTCTCTTTCTTTCTGTTTAGGTTTAGGTTTTTAGGAATAAAATTTTATAAACCACCTTGAATTATTCACTTGATTCCTTGTTTGTCATTGGAAAAATCACTTGGGCCTCCTATCCTTCAGCTTTTCACATGTGGAAAGAAAGAGGCATAGCACTTGCTACGCTGTAATCACAGTGAGATAAAAGCCATGTGTTTGAGATTTTAAGAAAAAGGTTTCCATCAGGTTTTCTTTTATGATACACTTTTTAAAATCAAAAGATACGTCACTAAATAACGAATTCTGTGAAACAATGTGAGTTAGCAACCAAATAAAGCAGATAAAAGTTGATGTAGCAGCATGGAGAGTCAATATTTATTAGGTCATGTTTCTCATCTCTTTCTACCTTTCATAGCCTTAAATTGTATCTGCATGCTTTGTGAAACACTGCCAGATTTCATCAGCACCATTTTGCTTTCCATTTTGTTTTGTTTTTGTGTTTCTATTCTTCTGAAGACATAGAAAATGAGGTTACTTGTATGCTCTTGAGTTACTTAATGACAGATATTTTGTTAGAAGAGATTTTCCCTCCTTTTTTAAGTAAAATGTTGGCTGCAGAAGGAGGAGTTTAAATGGGACATCAGCAGTGTGTGAGTTCAGGACTAATCTTTCACTTAAGCTCAGTTTTTGTTTGCCTAAGAATGTGCTTAATCAACACATTATTGTGGTTTATACCTCACTATTAAGGATAATTGCTTATACTGTGATTTCTACTGAATGCAGCACCAAGTAAAATGTTGACACAAACATCATCACAGTTATTCATTTACTAATGGCTTAATTGGAAGTTTATGTAGTGTGTTACCTTTGTGCTATCATTCACTGCCATGCCAATCTGAGGTCATAAAAGTTCATGCTACTAAAATTTGTATCATTAGATATTTGTTTGTTTGTCCTTAATTTAATTTTAAAGTGTGTTCTGCATGAATATACTTATTGGTAGGCATGTTATGAGGAATACAAAGTTATGATGAGAAAACTCCATATGCATTTTTGTGGATTTGAGATGTAGATTAGAAATATACTTTCCGGATTTTGTTAAGCATCAGGTGCAGAGAATAAAGTGGGAATAAATAGGAACTGAATTCTCCATAGAAGCAGGAAAAATGCAAATATAGGCATTTTAAAATGAGAAATATGGAGCTATATTGTGATCAGATGCAAAATAATTTTAGTGGAGGAAAAGATTCTAGAGCTGCTGCTGAAACAGATGTGTTTTCATACCTGCGATTTGCATTGTGATAAAGTTTGAAAGCTACAATTAGAGATCTTTATTGTTCTTGGCAAACTTGGATACAAAGTTTGAATTACAATGGAATTTCTATGAGTAGAATTTTGAACTTTCATGAGATTTTACTGTTTGAACCTTGCTGTTCTCACACATGGATACATTTAATAGCTTTACCCTGGCAAAGTGACAGGATTTTTTTTCTTCCATCTCTGGAAGCTATTTCTCATTTCAGATATGTATGCTTTAAGTAAAGTTACTGGAGTTTGTTTGCCGATCTTTTACTGGAGGTGAAACTTTGTTTTGTTTAGCTTTGTTGAGTAGCCTGAGTGTTAACTGTGGCTTTTGAAAAAAGCCCACCAAAACCCTGACAACCAGGTTCTGTAGTGAATATTTGCTTTTCTACCTGACATCTTCATTTTGCCTCCCCATGCAATTTTCACTTGCTATCTTTCCCCGTCTGTACGCTTTACTGGGATTTTTCTCAGCCGATGTTTTTTAAACATGCTTGGAAGTTTGACCTCTATTGCGTGGACTAAGGTGTAAACAAATTAATGGTGATCCACAGCTCTATATTTTCAGTGTTTGAATGGGAAGGTGTTATGAGCTTCCCCCCTCTGAACATAACGGCCCTGCAAAGTATCTCCTGGGGTTTCTTTTGTCTCTTTATGTATCTCAGTTCCCAATATATCAAATAGCAGTGATGACTGTCTGCTAGTGTTCAGAGAGTTATAAGAATGTTTGAGGAATCCTTCACCTCTAGTAAGATGTCTGTGCTATGACACTGTTAAGTATCAACCTGGTAATTTTTTGCCTCAACAACTAGGCTGGGAAGATCCATCTGTTATAACTTTAGCTGGATATTTAATCCAATGCATCTGTTTAGTGGTGTATGGGGGTGTGGGTGTGAAATCAAACTTGTTTGATCCCATCCTAAGGTCAGTTTTTAACAGGTATTCTGTACAGTTGCTTTTTAGAGGTAATGGTAGATTGAACCTCACTGATTAGCTCAGCCTAGATACCTATCTTTGAAATAACAAAGGACACACTTAAGACACATTGTTCTAACTATCTTTCATTTCTGCTTATTTCTTCCTACCCTGAAAGTTTAACATGCATGCATTCTTTGTTTTCTTCTCTTTTCCAGCACTGTGTGGAGGAGAGGAGAGCTTCTTGTGTGCCAGTGGGATCTGCATCCCAGGGAAACTGCAGTGTAATGGCTACAATGACTGTGATGATTGGAGTGATGAGATCCATTGCAGTAAGTTTCTTAAACCTTGCAGTGTTCCAATGAAGCACAGAATCCATTCAGGGAAACTTAAAGACTGAAGTCTATTGGTACCGAATAGGAGCTTTGCATAGTATTTGCAAATATTGACGTTGGGACTCTCTCAGTTGCCGTTGAATGTGTTTACCTTTGCTCACTCTGGCCACAGTATGTGTTTTTGATCTATCAAATTTTATGACTTGAAAGAAGATTCTGAGATTTCTGCAAGGACCCATGTGGAAATTAGAAGTATTTTCGGGCATTTGTTTTTAATGGATCAATAGCATGCATCAGAATAACAATTCTGAAACTGAAAACTCTTAGTTATATCTTCTTCCTAGTCCATGGCATTGAATTTACAGCAGATGAAAAACCATCTGTTTAAAAAGTTCTGTTGGCCTCAACACTGGATATGGTTTATTTAAATAAATCCCAGTATATGGTGCAGTAGAAAAGTGGATATACCTGCTTAACATCTTATTTATTTCTCCTTGGTAGTGTGTATCTTTAGAGCTCCTGTGTGATTTTCTGTGTTGACAGAAGCATTCTTGGACTACTAACACTTTTAGAAAAGCTGAGCAAATGTAAAGTAGGAAAACTATGAAAAGAAAAAAAAAAAAGAAAAACAGAAAATGTGGAACAATGACTAATTAAGGACTATAGTAGGACATGATGCCACAAAACTGCTGTGCATTGCATTAAAAATGTCAGACCTGGGGTTGAGTTCCAGACTGTGCAGTTTAGACTCATCTCAGAAGATCTGTTCTTACTAGTGATTTAAGAGCCTGAGCATTCCAAGGCTCACAATGCTGCTTTTAAGGAAGTTGCTGATAGATTTTGTCTGGGATATCCAAGGAATAAATGATTACTGCAATTTCCTCCTGGACTCAGTATGAATGAGGCTAGAGCTTACTTTTCCTTTAATAACCTACAATTTATTTAATGCAGGTTGATACAACTTCTGTTACATATAAAAAGTATTGTATGGTTTTATCTTTTATCTGTCAGTATCAACTTCAGTTTTTAATGTAATATAAAAAATTTAAAAATGCCTGTGAGACTATGCCTGTCAAGTTCCATTAGAAATGGGAAAGGAAAAAATTAGTAATATAAGAATAAAAATATTACATGTCTTGAAAAAACAAGCATTATAAATTTCATGAGTTAGGATTACCTTTAAAAGAAAACCTGTCTGTTAAATGATACAGGGTTTATAGGCAGAAGATGTGTTTTATTAGGATACTTGCTAAACGTTGGGGAGAGCAAGTGGAGGTCAAGTAAGACTTACTTGAATTACATGGCAGAAATAGGTCCTGACTTCACTCTTTGCCTGATCCGTATTCCATAGGGCTGCAAACTCCACCATTGCAGCCCAGGCTGCCTCCAATCCCGACATCACCGATGAGTTCAACTCTCGTTGGTGACCATCAGGTACAGTATGGCATTCCCTCTGGTAGGGCTGCCTATTACCTGGCTTAAGAAGTTATCGATAGTGCATTCCAGGAGTCTCCTGGATTGCCTGCAGCTCGCTGTGCTACTTTTCCAGCAGATGTCAGAGTGGTTGAAGTCCTCCAGCAGGACAAGAGCCTGTGAGTGTGATGTCTCTGGTAGCTGAGTAAGAAGCTTCATCAATAGGCTCCCCTTGATCAGGCTGCCTGTAGCAGACAGTCTTATCCGAGGCTCATTCATAAGGTTTTTAGTTCAGTTTCAAGATATTTCAATAGTAATTTTTACAGTGATTGACATTTTCATAATAATGAAAATATTCAGTCCTCCCCAAAATTTTATTGCTATTCACCATTTAATCATTAAATATTTTGCAATATTTAGCAATATTTGAGAAAGAAAATAAAAATTTGATTTTTTTAATGCTTTGTTCTCTTTTAATAAACTGAATTCTCACTGCTAGTGCTTACACATAGCTTTCCAGTGTTTAATAGGACCCAGAACAACACATGGAAAAGTTGTTCCCTTCTTAAGTCCAAACTGTATTTGCTCATAGGAAGGTTTTATCTAGCGTGAAATTTATTTTCAAATGTTTGTTGTTAACCTTGAGGATGGGAGGAATGGAATATGTGAAACAATAACAGAAGGTTTAGCTTAGAGTAAACAGCATTAATGCATTGAAGAGGATAACAAGGTATAAACACATGGCTCACTTCTCGTCTAATTTCTGCTCTATTTATTGCTGGGGAGCTGTTTTGTCTGCGTGAGAATCGTAAACTCAAAGTGTGGGCGATATAGATGGAGAAAAATATTCGGACTCTGTCCTAGCCAACAAACTTATGTAGCAGTAGATTGTTTAGGAGCAAGAATTGCCAAGAAAGGCAAGTATGGAAAACTGCTGGAAAACACTTAATAGAATTTCAAAGCAGGATTCTGTAAAGTGTAACTAATTGTAGGGGTATATGACAGAGATTCAAAAGACTGAAGCTTGCCAGTGTAATTGGATGCATTATAAAGAAGCGTAGGATTTTTGTAAAAGTATCTGGAAGAACGTTTCCAAAGTATGCTTTCCAGTTTTAATTAAAATATTCTTGTTTATTTGGATATAAACATTTTGCATTTGTGACCTGAGCATGACTATTATTATGTTTCCTGATATGAGAACGGGGAAGTTGAAACTGCTGCTAAATAATTCCAGTAAGATTTCCATCTGTAACAATTGCGATATAATATGTACAACAACCTGTCGAAGCTTCCCCCCGTCTGCAGACCCAAAATACAGCACTTCTGATATTTGTTTGGAGACATGCCTCTGGTTTTTAGTTATGAAGTTACACACTAGGGAGGGAGGCGTCTGTCCTTGTGCAGGTGACTGAGCTAAATGGCTAAACTGGCTGTCTGCAGAATCAGCTGAGGGAAACAGGCATGATTTCTCAGATTTTAAGTAGGTAATTTAAATGGGCTACGTGCTTTAGAAACTGAATTTAAATTACCCGTTTAAAATCTGCTTAGATCCTTTAGATGTCTAAGGTTAGATGAGTGAAGCTTAAAGCTGTGTCTCTAGTTTCAATGTTGAAAATTACATCCATTACAAAATGTAGAAGTCTCTGGGTTTAAGCTTTTTCATATTAATAGCTCTTTCTAGAATCTCCTTTCAGGATTCTGCATGAAGAAATTGATCACATGATGCAATTGCTTTTCTCTCCCTGGCTCTTGTTGTGCATTTTTCTCTTTTTCCCTCTGATGGGCCATAGTAAGTATGCAGGCAATAGTTAGGCTGTAGCAGAATCCATCCCTCTTATCGAAAGCACAGTTTAATTTACATAGCAGTGTCACCTTTTTACACAGATGCAGCCGAAAACTATTTTTTAGGATTTCATCATGTTATTTACACCATTTACTCTGTGACTTTGTGCGATGGAAGGTACCCAGCTGAGGAATTGGAATTCAGCTCAGGCAGCTGTCACACAGGAACATGCACTGGAAAGAAGCTGTTAATGCTGATCTACAAATGCATAAATTATCAGTGCCAAAACTTGGAACTGTTGGAAGGATTCTGATGAGCAAGGTTTACATGTACCAAATGCAACAGGCTCTCTTGCATCCCTCTGTATGCAGTTACACTTCCCCAGTACCTTCACTTCCTTCCTCTTCCTCCCTGTATGACTTTCTCAAGTCATGCTTCTCTTTCAGAAAGGTTGAAGAAGATGAAGGCCATTTTAGTAATAAAGATACAGAAGAAAACATTTATATGCATATGCATGTGTGTGCATGCCACACTCCAGAATAGAGCGTCTTCTTGATTTAAGGTGTTATTTACTCCTAGGAGTGGCAGAATTTGTACACTGAATCTGCACATGTATCTTTAAACATACATCTTTAAAATGTAGGACCCCTAAAATCACCTCTGGTTCTTTGGCTGAGGTGATTCATGGTCAGAAGGACATGTGATGCAATAGTGAAGTGGTGAAAACAGGGTGTGCATGACCAGAGATCAAAGGGTTACTGAATACACAAGATTGACCAGGCTTTATTTGTGTTTAGTGGAGTATAGAATAGGAACGTGTATTTAATTTTATGAAAACTGGGCTTGTCCCATCATTAACAAAATTTAGTTTGAGCCTTCTACAAATGTCAGCTGCCAAGTGCTCATTTTATCCTGATAGAAGTAACTAGCTACCCTACACTATATATCATTGTCAATATCTTGAGGAAAATGTAATTTAAGACTCTTAGATTTTCATCAAGTGAATTTTATTTCCCTGAGAAGAAGTTTGTATCCCTTTTGTTTACCCTGCCTGTGTGGGCCTGAGAGCTGCCATACCCTAAAGGACACTGCTGCAGCTACAGAGGTATGAATGTAAACAGGAATGGGGGTATGGATGGAAATTAAACAGTAAACTTATCCAGAGGAAACAACATAGAAAGAGACAGCTTTGTTTTATTTGCGTGAGGAGCAACTGAAGCACAGAAACTGTCAGAGTTACGAACTCATCAATAAGAATAAAGGTTGCCAGAGTACTTCACGCTGTTGCATACTCAAAACAAGTAATGTTTAGAATTTTACTCTCAGCTGGCTATTGTTCTGCTTATATGAAACTAGAACTTAAATATTTTCATTTAGTTTGGGGGTTTTGGTATTTACTGTTTCATGCCTTTTGTTCTTCTAAAGCTAAATGAACTATTGACTACAAAGCTCACGGCTCAGCCGTATTATCTAACTTTATGTCCTGAAGTGTTGTCATTCACATTGTGCTATAAATTTTGCTTGGACTTTCTAAGATGATCTGAGACTTTTAGAATGTATGAATATTTCTGGGTGGGGAATGGGGAGAAGTGATTCAAGTTCTAGAGTTGAGGTTGGTAAAACCTTGAGAAACTTAAAGTTAGAGCACTAGCCTAGGATGTGGAACACTTGCCTGACATGGATTTGGAGGGATAGAAAACCCGTTCCACCTTCTGGGAAAGTGCTGCACCCTTCGGACACCCTTCTTTCAAAGTGACACCACTGTGCAATCGTGAGCCCACGAGTCATGCAAAAAGGAGAGAAGCAAGCGGTAGCATGATTCTGTTGTTTAGTGGTTGAGCATCTCAGATGAGGGGAGAGACTTCTGTTCCAGGCCCTGCTCTTGGAGCTCTGTCTGTATGTTGTCCAGGAAGGAGCTCATTTAAAATGCCCACGTATCCCAGTAAGAAAAGGTGCAACGATCTTCCTTGGTTCCAGGGGCATAGCTTCGACAAGAAGGAGGTTGTCCACCCAGCTGTTCTATATCCTTGCATTCTCCCTGGAAAAGCCAGATGTAAAGGAAAAGCCTAGAGGAAGGCAGTGAAACTAAGCCACCCACTTCCTAACTGCGTGTAATCAAAAGTTATCAGTAATGGGACCAGACACCACCAACCCTATTTTCTCTTCTCCCCCTTTTTCTAACTACAACGTGGCTTCCATGTTTTTATTGGACCTGATATTATTCAACCATTTTGGATATTATCAAAGAATATTTATCAGGGTTTTACTGAAGGCCTCAGCCATGGAAAAAAAGGCTAAATCCACTTAGGGTGGACAGGGCTAAGAAATCCTTGATGAGATGGCATCAGGCCAAATTCTGAGCTCACAACTGTGTAAAGCACAAAGCTCATTTGAAACCATTGTAAGATCTAAGGCAAGCTCAAAAGCAGGGCCTGGGGATCTGGATTTGGCTATTAGAAGCTTCAGTTCCAACCAGTAGCCATATCAGGTGCTCAGGATGGTCCTAGTGATCTAGCCAATGAAACCTACAGCCTTTCTTAAGAATCTTATGTATATAAATTAATTAAACGTTTTGGTCCATATGTGTAACCAGAGCAATTTCTCCTCATGGTACTGATCAAAAAAGCAGTTGGTAGGAACAGAATAAAAATATCTATAAATAGCTTCTGATTTTTCTTGTTCTTGCATATTAAATTCTAGTAAGCTGGTACACGCTAAGTATTAATGCAGACCTGTGAATTGTAGGGTATCTTTAGCTAATCTTGTTTTAGTCAGTACATTCCAGTGTTCACAGTTTATATGAATGTTAACATTTTACAAAAAATGTTTTGTAGACTGCAGTGATGATGTATTTCGTTGCAACACGGGAAAGTGCCTAAATTACACCTTTGTTTGTGATGGATATGATGACTGTGGAGACCTTAGTGATGAACAAAACTGCGGTAAATAAGTTTTATGTTTTTCTAAAGTCATTAAGATAGCAGTATTGCTTAAGCCAGCAATTTTTTCCCTCAAACTACTTAAAGAGTAATATAACCTGCTGTTACTCTTTTTGGGCTGTGTAAAACCAGCTCACAAATTCTATATGCAATTTGAAAAGTTTTAAAGGAGAGTTCTGGGTTAATCCAAATTTTGAAGGTAGTGGTATTTTGAAGAAATATTCTGATTTGCAATTTGTTTTAAACTAATTCAAGGTATTATGATGCTTTCTTGCTAACTAATTTAACTGATATTAGAGCAAACCATAAGAGGCTACACACTGGTGATGCCAACTCTTTTATAGCTGAACTATTTTTACCCAAGCTTCACAGTGAACTTGTATGTTTTGATGATCAAATTCTATTTCTTTCAAATTCTGTTTTCAATCAGCTTTATATGTTCTGATCCCTTCGATTTGTCTTTCTACCTACACTTAACTTTCATGGGAAAAAAAGAAGTTTTGCATTAAAAAAGAATGGTTTTCACATGTAAATATTGAAAAACTTTGAAAGCCTTATTTTTTTCGAACTTTTGCTCCTGGTACTGCGCCTGAGAAAAAATAAGTTTTCTAAAATAATTCTTTAAAAGTTAAAATATTATTTCATACTTTTTTTCTTTTGCTTTTCTGAGAAAAAGCACAGAGAATTTAAAAACGAAAAATCAAGGCCAAATTTTTTCAGAGATTTCTTTTATGTTTCTTCTCCAAATTAAACATACTCTAAGATCTTTCACTACTTCTTGTCAGTTTTGGCTGTTTTGTGCATGGCTTTTTTTTCCATTAAATCATCTTTGATTGAAGACTTTTCTAAACATTAATCCGACTCCTATGATTTCTATCTTAAGACACTTTTTTTCTACATCAAATTTAAGATCTCACTTTTTCTACAGGCTATAAATGGGTTTCATAGCAGATTTGGCAGACTGGGCTGTGTCTACTCCTGGTTTATTTGCTGTGAAGTCAACCTGCTCAACAGAATGCTTTTCTTTATTTGCGGAAGCATTCAGGTAGAAAGAGTGAGGCGAAGGTTGGAATAGTTCTTTTTGTAGATCATTCTTATGGAAAATTCTGAGTGTAAGCAAAAAATGTAGTTCCTGATTAAGTGCCAAATATGGAAATTGTGAAACTTTTTTTTCTTTTTTTTACTTCTTAGTAAAAAGATAAAATTAGGGAATGATTTTCACTGATGGCAACTGAAAATGTTGGCTATACTGAAAATCATTCCATGAGTTGGGAAGCCAGAAGATCTTTTAATCTCCTTAAAAATCTTAGAAACTTGTTTAATTGCAAATGGAAACAACTGTGCACCTGAGGGAGGGTATGAATGCACCACTATCTGTATGGGCAATAGGATTCTGAACATATGTAACCACTATCCGAAAAAAGATGTGCGGGTACAGAAAATCTCTTATTGCAATTTTCTGATGCAAAATGGCTCATTAATAAGAATGATTAGCTTAAAGGCATAGAACAATGGATCAATAATATAAAAATTATACAAATGGTAACTTTTCATCCTTTATTATTTTATCCTTAAATTTGAATTTTATCTAGATTGTAACCCAGTGACACATCATCAGTGTGGAGATGGGAGGTGTATAACAGCTGATTGGGTATGTGATGGTGACCATGACTGTATAGACAAATCAGATGAAATCAATTGCTGTAAGTTCCCTTAATCTCTAAATCAGTTTTTTCTTTAAAAATAAAATTAAAAAAAAGCCCAAATGTAGGATAAGCTGTATACTTACTCATTACTTGTAAGGCAAGAACTACAAGCTTGTTTGATTTCAGAAGTTTGCCCTTGACAAATGTCCCTTCTGGGAGACAGCTGCAGCAAATTAAACATTTGTTGCCATTGTGGAGAAGTAACAGCACTGCCTTGTGTTTCAGCTTCTTGTTAATTACAGAATTAGCTTTTTGTTAACTGCAATGTTCCCATCAAAGAGTAGTGAATACATGCATATAAACTCCTAAACTGGAGGCATTCTGAGTTTGTGACAGCTTTCTGGTGCGAGCGTACGCGACTTACCACTCCTTGTCAGAGTTTGGACTTCTGTCTGCTCCAGTGATGACGGTGTATATCTGCAAAGCAACTCTACTAGAATATTGCTGAGGTTGCAAATCAAGCGTTGGGGAGCTAGCACATGTTTCAGTGTGGTTAAGGTTCTCAAAAGACATATGCTTATGCGATTTTGATTCTTGCTGCCATTCAGTGCTTGACCTTGCAACCACTATGCTACAATTTTCCCTGAAATCTAAGAACATAATCTGAGTAAAGGAATGTAAATAAGTGGGCAAAGAAAAGGTGACAATTTTTATATGAGTAAAAATGATGTGTTTGGAGTTTATTTGTTGATATAGCTGAACCTTCACCTCAGCTGGTTGCTAATACCTGACATATATAGTTTCAGTCCCTGTGGTTGAAGATCAGCCCAGCTGTAGGCTATTGAAAATATAGCCCACATATAATGAAAAATGTCTAGTGCCCTTCAGTGCTAAGCAGTGCTATCAGCTCCTCCTTAAATGTTCAAAAACAATTAAGACCTTCATTAACCTAAGTTGATCAGAATATTGTCTTGTTTTCCTAGCGTGTCACAGTCAGGGCCTGGTGGAATGCAGAAATGGGCAGTGCATTCCTAGTGCATTCCAGTGTGATGGAGATAATGACTGTAAAGATGGAAGTGATGAAGAAAACTGCAGTGAAAGTAAGTATATCCCTCATTTTACTTTTCTTACTGAACCTACCTTTGACTGCTGTCTTCTGAAAGCTAAAGCTGTCTGATGTTTGCTTTCTTTGCCTTTCAAACCACTTGCTAAGGCTGCTTGGTGTCTGCTTTCACACACGAACTCATAAGCAGAGTTTTATTAGTCCTTAAAAATATAAAAAATTAAAGACATGGAATTGATGTTTAGCATAGTATTTGTTTATCTGAGATGATCAGCTGTGACTTGAAATAATACATATTCACATTGTCTGAAGCAATTAGAAGCTACTCTTGCAGGAATTGGTGTTGTTTGAGGAGGAATTTTCTCATGAAAATCCAATTTTTCATCAGAACTTGGGAATCAGACAAAGTACGTTTTCATAAGTAAACTAGTGATTTAGGGTGACTAGGGGAAAATATATTAGAATGTAGGTTTTCACAGTGACTTAATAGAATCATAGAATGGTTTGGGCTGGAAGGGACCTCAAAGACCATCTAGTTCCAACCCCCCTGCCATGGGCAGGGACACCTTCCACTAGACCAGGTTGCTCAAAGCCTCATCCAGCCTGGCCTTGAACACTTCCAGGGATGGGGCATCCACAGCTTCTCTGGGCAACCTGTTCCAGTGCTTCACCACCCTCTCCGTGAAGAACTTCTTCCTGATATCTAATCTAAACCTTCCCACTTTCAGTTTAAACCCATGAATATAATGGCTGTCTCATGATGGATTGTATGAAAGAAAAGGAAATCAGGTGATTTCTTGAGCCACAGAACATGCCTTGCCAAAGACTTGTGTCCTGTGGTACATTTTGGGGGGTTGGAACTAGATGATCTTTAAGGTCCCTTCCAACCCAAACCATTCTATAATTCTATGATTTTGGTACTGCTGTCATGTTGTGAATGGCTTCAACGTTTGAAGGTATTTTTCAATGTAGTTCTCTTGTTTCTAATAAGCTGTAGGTTCAGATTGCAGCCTTTTCTTCAATGTGAGAATTATGTCTTTCTCTGATTAATCTTACTTTTAAGAAATTAAAGTAATTCTCTTTTATTTAGAAAACTACAGCTGTAAGATGTAGTGGTAATAGGGCAACCTATTCAAAAGGTATTAGCCTCGAACAGACCTTTTGTCATAAATACACAGTGTGGTTATATAACCCTCATTTCTTTAGGAAAGCAGTCTAGAAGAAATCCTTTCATAAGTGTGCCTACTCAGTCCCTTCTGTTCATATTAATTTCATGGGATCTTCCTACTCCAATTTAAACAGCTCCATTCCAAAAAATAACTGAGAAGTTGAAACACAGAAATTACCATTATTCTTCTTCGCAATTAATGTTGATGTTGCAAAAAAGTCTTATATGCAATTTCTTCCAGTTTTGACTGTGGCAATCTAAAAGCCAAGGACCAAGTTTTGGCGTTAGTTCTGACTGTGCAGTCTCACAAAATGCTCAGTTTTATTAATCAATTTTTCTGATGTCCAACCACAGTCTTGTTTGATGAATTCCATGATCCTCTGTTTCCCTTGCTGATAATGAAACTATCATTTTTAATATAGAAGAGATGAGGTACGAGAATGAGGTAAACTGAAAATTACAAAACTATTTAGAGCATTCTATAATCAACCATTTCAACTTTTAAAATTCACCCAACTTAAGCTTCTAAATTTTTTTTTACCATTATTAATTGAGAATTTGATCATGTCGATGCGTGGTCTGGGGTAGAAGTCAGTGATGTCTTGTTTTTACAGCTTATTGTCATTGTGGATGTTGAAGAAATGGTTGAGAGTCTTTTTTTGGTAAGACAAACAGGTCTTCAAGGATAATACATGCATAGGAGTAGGGTGGAGTGATAATTATGTAGTCAGTGATCTCGCAATATGCCTTCTTGCTTAGCATTAAACTGCAAAGCTTTTAAACATGAAAGCTTTCCTTGTTCTTATTATTCATTCTTCAGTGTGAAAAAAAATCTAATATTTTGCATTGTTGTATAAAGCAAAATTCTTTCTTTATGCAACCATATCCTGTCCATCCTAAATTTGCATGAGAATATGTAAGCAGAATTTGCACTTTGTTTGGATGGTTCCTTTCTAGTTCTTTGCAAAGTCCTTGTAGCAAGGCAGAAGTCTTGTTTGCAACTTCTTTTTCTATTTCTTATGTATGACATTGATTTCAGCAAATACAGAAAATGTAGTAGAACATACCCAAACTAATTTGTAGAGCAAAGAAGTCTTTGTATTAAGTATATGCCTAGCAGAGGCAGTGAAGTTAGGGCAGAAGTGGTATGGAATATTTGTTTTGTTACAAAGACAGATATATGTGAAATCAGCATAGAAATTTGAGGTCAAGATGTACTGGACACTTGCTTATATAAGGATACAGGGACCTTGTGTAATAGTAGAAGTATATACATATAGGGATTACAGATGACCATTGCTTCATCTATATCCAAATGGGAAAAATGGTCTCCCTCGCTACATATCTTAAGGAAATGAAAGGTCTGGCATGTATTAACGTTACTGCTGGCATTAATTTTGTGACAATAGAAATCATCCATAGATGTACCCACAGGTGGTTCTGTGATTCCCTTCAAAAGGCAGGAAGGCAGGGTAGAGTGCGTATAGAAATTCAGCATTGACCGTGCTAAGATCAAAAGAATCTACTCTGTAGCACAGGGATTTTTAAAGAGTTGAAAAGCTCTTCCAATGTGGGATAAGAAGGTGTTGGAGCAAACTTTAAAAATTAATTCAATGTAAAGATTTGTGACAGTTTTAGAAGTCAGAATGTTTTCCCAACCTTTCAAGTTCCGTTTTGCAGTCAGATGCACCTGTAAAACAAGACAGTCGATTGCTACAGCAAAAGAAAGCACCTCCATTGCTTCAACATATAACATGCATGAAGGGAAGTAAATCCACATAATTATGAATAGCTATGACTACATCATCAGTTCTCTGGGACAAGGTTGTGGTCAAAGTCATTGAAACAAGGTGTTTCTTCAGCATTCTCTGTATGCCCAATATAAGGATGCCGTGACTGAATGATGAATGTTCATGGACAGTAGTGCAATACAAACACTAAGCAATAGTTGCAATGAACCATTTGAAACAGGCTGAGATGATAAAATCTGAACTGTTCAGTCTCTGTGTACAGAACAGTAAATTAAATGACTGATTTTGCTAAAGTCATATGGAAGAGAGAATGTAATGGTTTGGAAAGGAGCTGTCACCACTAAGAGACAGAGAGAAGTCCAGGGATTTCTCAGAGGAACTAACCGTCCAGGTAATGTGCTCAGAAACGTTTTGGTGAAGTGCTGGTTTTAGTTATTCTGAATTCCATCTTTAGGACCATGGTCTTCTTGGGTTTCTTGTTGTTATTTGGTTTCTAACCAGCCAAAGAAGGACAATAAAGCTTGAGTTCTGACGACCTTTCTTCAGGATGGTTTTTATTGTCCACCAAAACAATCATAAAATGAGAAGCAGATCAACTGCATGGCACTGAAGAATAATTCCCAGAAGGCATTCTCTTTCAGCTAGTACTTATTGTTCCCTTTGAAATCTGATTTACATTACTTTTCATACTCCACCAGAGGATCACGGTAAATAACTTTCAGAGATCTATACCTCTCATTCAGAAACTGAGATATAAATTCTTATATTACAGATAGTGCTAAAGAAAAGTGACATCTGGACAATGCTGCACCCTTTTCTTCCTTGCAACACTTCCTTACTGCACTGGAAATGCTGATGCTGTAGGGCACTTACTCAGCTATGTAAATAAAAAACTTAATTGTAATGTAAACTGTATTTTCTCATCACTACACTCCAGTTATTTTTATTAATCTGGTAAATAATTAGAATAGTGCATTTCTATTTTTCTCAGGTCAAACCCTCTGTCAGGAGGGAGACCAGAGATGTATTTCCTGTCCTGATCCCTGTGGAACTTCTCTCTGTGAGATGAGAAACAGCCAGACAAACTGCAGTAAGTAGGTCACATGTTTCATATTGTCACTGCTTTAGAGTATAATGAGGATGCAGAATAGGACACAGTAAGTAATACCTTAATTTACTATCTAATGCACATGGGTAATGATTAAGTATTGAAAAGGGCAAAGTTGACCCAAAAGTTTCATTGTAACTCTTGATTATTGATGTACTAAGAAATATGCATAACATTTGACATTGAGGTATTTTCCTTTCTGTGAATTTTCTATATGTTCTTAATGGGTGTTTACAGTTGCACTTTTTCTTAATATTTAATGACATTCATTATTTACATACCCTTATGCTATGTTGTTTAGTTTAAGGTAGAAGCTGCTGGTTTATTTTCAAACTGTAAGAAACCATGGTACTGTGTTTAGTACTCTGGAGAACTTTTAGCCCTTTTATGAAGGAATAATACTGATATTCAAACTGGCAAAAGTAGTTATTCGTCTGACCAATAGATATTGTGGAGGACTGGGGTCTTCTACACTGCATATCTTCATTTCTATGTCCTGCACTATACCATCCATGCAAGCCTCCTCTGCCCACTGTACATTTACTTCTGAGGAGCTCTGTTTCTCACTTGTGTGATGCAGTATCTTCTGAGATACTCAGAAGAAGTGTATTTGGCTGGGTTTTGAAACTGGGGTGAACTGTATTCAGAATTAATTAAAACTTGGTGATATGTTAATACAGTCAGATCAATTTGGGTCACCTTGGCACATGGGCAGGCTTGCCTTCACTTACATATGAAAGTGTAGACATAGCCTGAGGACTGAGCATAGACTGACTGGCCTTTAGTCCCCTGGATCCTCCTTCTTGTCCTTCTTAAAAGATGGATGTGATGTTTACCTTTTTGCAGTCATCAGATGTCAGGGTTACCATGACCTTTTAAAGATTATATAAAGTAGCCTTCCAGTGACATTCCTCAGTTGAAGCTGAGGCGAGGCAGAAAAGACATTGAGTATTTTGGTCTTTTCCGTGTCCCTGGTCACTAGTTTCCCTGCCCCAGAGAGCAGCAGACCCACATTTTTCTTTTGTTTCCTTTTGCTGCCAGTGTACTTAGCAGAGCTCTCCTTCTTGCCCTTTATATTGCTCAATAGTTTAAACTCTACCTGAGCTTTGGCTTTTCTAACTCAATTATTGTATTCTCTATATTTATTTTTGTGTTTGGTGGCAAGATCCTTGTTCAGCCAAGGTGGCCTTAATGCCACACTTGCTTGACTTGCTTTGTATTGGAATGGACTCTTCCTGTGCTCTAAGGATGCCTTCCTTTATGACCAACTTCCTGTCCTTCAAGCAGATATCAGCATGACTGAAACTCTTACAAGTACCAGGCCCTGTAATCATGAGGCAGCTCTCTGAAGGAGTGTTCCACCTTCTCTTTTTGCTAAGGTGGCCTGCAGCAGGTGCCTACTGTCTACATCACCTGTGTAGGTCTGTCCTCTAATCAGTGTCAATAATCAAACTATTCAGGTGAGAAAGAATCTTCTAAGATGATTAGAGTAGTAGATTTTTTTTTTTTTCACTTGCCTGTTGTGAACCAAACCAACATTCTCATCCAAGAAATATTTAGAAAAGGTTATGAAATGGGAAGGTATCCATGTAACACAAAACTAATAACAATCCACTTCATTTAAAAAAAACAAACATGCAATAGAATTGAAAATTTTAAAATAATTTCACTTTTTAAAAAATTTTTAAATCTCAGCTATCTTCATCTTGGTTGTTTTCTCCCCTGTGTCTTGAAATTCATGTTTGGATATTATCTCTTATGAGGCGTTGTCTCCCTTCTGGTGTAAAGGAAGAATATATCTTGGGATAGATACACAAATCAAGGAGAAATCAAATGTGAGATATCACAACAAATTAAATTACGTTGGTTGTTGATCAAATCTGCATTTCCTGCTAAAATGCCTTTAAGCTGTAGGTTCCTGGCATCTCCAAAGAAAGTTCTTCAAGTAATCTTTTCTTGTCTTTGAGATTTGAAGGTCATATTTTCCTCATATTTTAAAGTTAGAATACAAGAGTATTCACTGAGATAGTAATTAACTGGCTTGAATAACTCCACTCTAGCTACTCATAAGTTAAATCTGTATGATAAGATTTAGTCTCTGAGGGCAGAAGGTTCATGGGAGTGAAAGTAGTTTTGTCCCAGACATCTATGCCTGCAGGAAAAGCAGCAGCTTTACCAGCCTATGCCTCTAAAACCAGGTATTGTTTCTCAGTTTCTCCATTTGAGCATCACTGACTTGGCCACAAAGCTGCGGTTTATCCAGGAACAGGGACTTTCATATTTCTATCTGCTGTTTCAGAGCTTCTTTACTCATAATGCTTCCAAAACTTAACAAGCGTTACACTAAACCCCGTTATCTATGTTTAAGACTCTAGCAAATTTACATTTACTCAGGTCAAAAAAATGGAGTGTTTTGTAATTTTATTTATTTTTAAATACTTATTTACATTTTATCTGTTATATTGTGACAGGATCAACATTGGACTCACATCTGATGGCTGTGTAGTCACCAGTCATGCATAAGACAGGTCATCTATTTGGCTGGCGAACCAGCAGCTACCTTATCCAACAAGTAGGAAAATGTGTACATTCCCACAGTAGCCTCTGGTTCTTACATACTCAGGGAGCAGTTCTGTTTTAAGCAAATTATCTTTCACAAACAGTGACTACAGTCCTGTAAAAGGTAACAGCCTTTCAAGCAAGTTGAGTCTTTCTCACGGTAAGAGAGAGCTGAAAGTGTACTTTCTTTCATGGATTTGTCTTCCTTGTGGATAAATTGGTATGAGACTTCCTGTTGTCCAGAGCACTTTGTCCTGTGATCCAAAATAATTTCCTGATAAAGGCAGATTTTTGTATCCCACTGTATGTACGGACAGCAATTTTGGAAAATGTTTGAGTGGCTAGGACTATGTTACAAGACAGTGAAAAACATTTCTTGACACATGATGTTTGAGTTCTGAAATAATGTTCTAATTCCATGTCATGAGAAACACAAGAGCTTTTTAGTCAAGATGTTTCCTCATCATATTATGGGCAACAGTCTGTAATTCTTGACAGGAGTTACACATAATCTGAATTAGACCTCTGGATCATCTGTCTTTTTCTAGTCCAGTGAATATTTAATTGTTCATACACAATGGAACAGCAAAAGAATTTGGGAGAGATTTTTCTTGCATAACATCTGGAAGTACTATTGTCTTTTTTCATGTTATTTTCCCTGTTCATATTTTGACCAGAGTTATTTCATCTTTGGTAAGAGATGAGCACTCCCGTGGAAAATTTCAGTTTTGACAAAGCAGTATTTTCTGGCCCAAATAACTCTTTGGTTGGAAAATACCAAAGCATAGGCCACATTTTGCAATATTTAATATGATGGATGTCCTCCATGTGTGATAATGTGTGATCAGACTAGGCTGGCATTATAATGCAGTTACAACATATTTAGCACAGCAGAACAAATATCTGAAGGGACAGTATAAAGAAGACAGACCCAGGCTATTTTGGAGCTCAGTGTCAGGACTAGAGGTAATGGGTACAAGCTGTAAAGAAAAAACAAGATAGTAAAAACCTCCTGTTTCAACAGGAGGTTCCCTCTGAACATAAGAAAAGGCTTTTTTTACTGCGAGGGTGATTGAACACAGGTGGCCCAAAGAAGTTGTGGAGACTCCATCCTTGGAGACAGTCAAAGGCTGTCTGGGCATGGTTCTGCACAACGGGCTGTCGGTGGCCCTGCTTGAGCAAAAGGGGTTGGACCAGACGACCTCCGGAGGTCCCCTCCAACCTCAGCCACTCTGCCATTCTGTTACTGTGTTTGGCACTAATTCCTATATAGTAGGTAAGGCGAGCTAATAATAAATACATGAAGACATTAAACCCAGGCATAATCTGTTTGAGAGTTTGATTTGGGATAAAAGATGCAATGAATTTTATTTCTTGTTCCTCACTTACCAGGTTGTAAATGAGAGAGTAGTGAGTTCTCTTAAACTGTAGGAGAGATATGAGAAGGAAAGATTAACCTTACAATTACTTCAGTCAGATATTCCCCTGGAGTGTGTAGTCTATTTGTTACTCTGCTTGTGGATTGTAGGGAATTGGGTGTGAGGGTCGAAAGTAATCTTTTCAAGCATACGATGACACTTTTGCACGTAATGTGACAGAAGCTTTCCAAAGTGTGAAAAGGGTAATCATATTGAAAACACGTGAAGAACTGACCTACAGAGGCATTTCAGTGGACTGGATTGTCTTCTAGAACTCACCTAAACCCCTATAAATATGAGGCATAACAAAATAGAGAATGATATATGTGCATTTCTACCTTTTAGTCCTGAATAATGTTATGTTAACACAAACACTTAGATCACTGTATGTACTTTTGTGTTCATTTACTGGGGTTTCATAATGAAATATTGATGAACATGTAATATTCTGTACACATCAAGAAAAGATGCTTACTGGGGAAAAATCAAAGGACAAAACCAAACTGATCTGGGCATATGTGCCTGAAGTGTGGGAGGACAAGGGAGAGCTCGTCATGCAGAAAAGGAAATGGCAGTAGTGTGAGGAGGATTGTTGAAGTTTTTGAACTTCCTGTACCCCAAAGCTGGGACTAAGTTTTTTGAGACAGCAGAAATCATTTAGTATTGGCAGTATGCAAGGATTTAGCAGAAAGGACAAGCTGTATATGAAATGAGCTTTGGGATCCTCAGATTAGGGGTAAATACTAGAAGAGGTTATAACAGGGAATGCCAGTCCAAGAAAGACTGTCGGGTTCCGCTGATCAGCTGAATAATTGACTGCTGGATCTTCTTTCAATTGCCTCCCAAAGATCCAGCTAGAGGATCACATAGTTGCCACAAAGTGCTGGCAACTCACAGTAGCAGCTGGCTAACGGAGAATATCAATCATGTTAAGATACATGTGCTTCCAGAATAGGCAGATATATGCAGTCTTTCGATAACAAATGACTTTTGAATAGTACACTTGAAAAGAAAAAATGAAAAAATAAATATTTCTGACTACCGATTTGGGAAGAAATATGAAAGCTGTATAACTTCAGTTTCAGTTCCATATGTGTTGTGATAAACCCCTTATGAGCTGGGTGATTTTTGTATATAGCTGTAGTCTGTGAAATCATCTAGACTTGTAGCTGTTGAATATATTGTGCTCTTGCTCATTGTTCTCTTTATTATCAATTATGCCTTGTCTGAATTAAATTATTAGCATGTAGATTGTCTGTTACTCAGTGTTTGCGCAGTACATAACCTAATTGTCCCCATTCTTCCCTCAGATTTTGAGATGCAAACAATTAAATAAAACAAATCCTGCCTTCTGTTTTCTGTACAGAGGAACTGTGCAGTCTGCGTCATTAGTGATTTTTCAAGACCCGATTGAATAAATCCTTCAGAAACCTGATCAGTTCTCAGAGCTGAGCTTTGTGCAGGACATTGGACTAGAGGCCTCCTGAGATCCTTTCCAACCCAAAGTATCCTATGATCCCAGTCTTAATTTTGACAAATGCCCTGCCAGTATGAGGTGTGTTATGGTAGCATAGTACATCAGTAGGAACTGCGTTGCTGTATGGTACAGGAGCTCTTGAAAATCATCAGAAAGCTAATCTGAAAAGAATAAATCTCTTTATAAGAATGGTTTATCATACCCTATTAAAGTTAAGATGTTACTCAGGAAGCTAATGCATATTGGTAAGGGAATATAAGTTTCTGAATAGGTTATTAGGTAGGCAGAGGTCAAACCCACCTTTCTTTACTGGCATGAATAGGCTTGGATGGGGTCTTGAGCTCCGAGAGTTTTAGTTTCTCAGGCCTGAGAGGAAACACCCGAATGATAAATTTTTTAAATACTTATGTAATAATTTCTTCTGTATTTCATTTAATGTCACACCATTTGTGTTTCTTTCTTTTTTTTTGTTTTCTTTTTGTGAAAGGTCAGTGTGAACCCATTACTCTGGAACTCTGTATGAACTTGCCTTACAACCATACTTACTACCCAAACTACCTGGGCCACAGGACGCAGAAGGAAGCCTCTATCAGCTGGGAGTCTTCTCTTTTCCCAGCCTTGGTTCAGACCAACTGCTACAAGTACCTTATGTTTTTTGCCTGTACAATCTTAGTACCAAAATGTGACCCCCATACAAATCAGCGGATCCCACCTTGCAGGTACTCTACTACAAGTAATTCTTGACTGACATTGTCTGTCATATTTGTCTTTCCCAATTTTCTGTTCCATTGAAAATGCCAGAGATTTTGCTTTGGAATGCCGTAGCAAAAAGGTAGAGAACCATATTTTATAAGATCGTTAAACACTGTTCATTACATGTGCGTGATAAGTATCTGAAGTATTTAAAACAAGGAGAGAAACAGCAGTTCAGTAATTTTCAAAACGTATATATTGAATAGACTTATTTCAGTTGGAAGGGACCTGCAGTTATCATCTAGTCCAACTGCATGACCATTCTCATTGTGTTATTAGTTTGACTGACATCCTTTATTTTTTAACTATAATGGTCTTAATGAAATTTTGAAGCAAGGAATGCAGGTAAAGAGGATTTTTTTAAAATAACTGAACTTGCTGTTATTGAGGCCATTCATTGATCTATCAAGTATGTTTTCAAATTCTGAACAGTATTCTTCACCTCTGATAGTACCTTCACCTCTGGTAATATTAGTCTATATCTGGTGAAATAATCTGTGAAGCTAAGTGTGTGCTGGGTTCCCATGAACACAAACAGAGTTTCACTGGGGAAGAATGTATGTAATAGGCTCAGAAATTCCTGTTCCCTTATAATTACAAACTAGCTTTGCTGTGAATTGACTCTGTAAGGTGCTGGGCAGCTTCTGGAAATTCTGGGTCTCAAGACATTCCAATATACCTGTCCGTGTCCCTTATTTTGTGACCAGGGAATGCCTTCCTCGTCACCTTAGCCTGTAATGACACAGAAATTACACTGTGTTTCAGTAGTCTTCAGCTGACTTTGGTGTTGTTTCAAAACTGTAATCGATGTGTATGAAGAATAACCCTGGTAAAATCTCATGCCCTTTATATGTTGGCACCAATTTAGGCATCCCATTACTGTATTTGAATTGGAAAAGAGATTTTTTTAGTTAACTGCTGAATATTTTTTTAAAGTGTTAGTCTGAATTCCATTGCAGAAAATGACACATTTCTATGGTACACACACACATATATATTTTTTTACCTTTCATTTCTTTCTCCTACCAAGAAGGGGGAGATTCCTCTGCTTTGCGATACGTACTTTTGTTAACTGTTAACTTGTTGGATTGATTCATAGACAGTACTACAGATGAGCTTTGACTGAGAAGTAAACAAAGAAGTCCATTACCAGTGTATTGTGATAGCCCAACTGTGAGACTCGGTATGGGAAGGATTGGGAAAAAAAACCCCAATTGCTCTTCCAATTTTCCTAGCAGTATTGCAATAGCCTTCCATATGCACTGTGATGGGCACTGCTTTGAAGATCATCTACATTTTAATTCTTTCACAACAAACTGGCAACTAAATGGCTTGCAATAGCTTTTGGAAAGGGTCAGCTTTGGCCAAAGATTTGAGTGTGCAGAGAACACAGGACAGAAATGGCTTAGAGTCTTCCCTAACAAATTCAAACTTCTAAAATGTATTCAACGTATTGTTGTTGGTTTGGGGTTTTTGCCACTGTTAAATAAAAATTCTGGCATTCAGCAAGCTGAGGTTATAAAGTGGTGTGAGTCAACCTTTTTGATATTGAGGAGGATCTAAAAGGAAAGAGAGAGTCTGTAACTGTATCATGGTTAACCAATGTCAATCCATTAATCCCTTCCTTCCAGCTGCTCAACTCAATGGTGCATCATTTGGTGCAGAGAAACATTGTCTCTTCTTCATGCAATCCCTCAAAACAGAATTAAATTTGAGAAGATTAATAATGTATTGTTTTCTCAAAAGAACATAAAGTAATTGATCCTAAATGGATCTGTTTGCTTGGGTTTAGTCATTGCATTTCTTGAGGCTTATTGCAGGAAAAAAACATGGTGCGTTGGTCAAAAGATTAAAGGAAAATGAGTGGAATAAAATGCCTTCCATGAAAGGGGTGTCTGTTCCTAGAGTAAGGATCTGTAAAATTAAATCTAATTAAATGAAAGGCAAGTTAAAAGTGACATGAGGAGAACTGAAAAAAATAGAAACATGTGGGATCCTACTAATGAATATTTTTCAACCTATAAGAACAAGGGAGAATTTTCTTTGAAATGGTAGGAGAAAGTCCAAATGCTTCTAAGATTAGAAAATATGATCTAAAAGGTGCAGTGAAACAAATTGCTGAGTCCAGAAACAAGAGAAGACTGGGGAGACATCATAGCCTACAGGTAGGTGCAAGTGAGCTTCTGTGAGAAAATAAATTGTTCACCATGTTCACTGAGGTTGAACCAGGAAGCAGTGGATTTAAGGTACATCAGGAGAGCTATAGGTCAGCTAGGAGGAAAGCCATAGATACCTGTGTATGAGAATGAGTGATAAGGGAGTATATGAAATCTTGCTAACTGAAGAGTTTTTAAGTACAGGTTAGACAAACACCTGTTAAACATGGTGCATATTTTCTGTTTGGAGGAAGAGATGAAATGGATGTTGAGGTTCCTCATCCCATCTTGCCTAGTTAATATTCCACAAAAAAAAAAAAAAAAAGATTTATTTGAAACAAACAGGGATTTAAAATACCACAGATAAAAGACTATTCTACTGAGCAGCACATCAGCTATGATTCCAGGCAAAGTAATTGCTAAATGTTTAAAATAAAGCTTAAAATAATAGGGGATTTTTCTATGATGTATTTTCTCTCTGTACTTTTGAAACATTTGACATTGGGTATTATGAGAGACAGGATATTAATCTAGATAGAGTGAACTATTTTTGTATGTTCTGTCTTTCTACGGGGGAAAAAAATGCAGTAGGAGGATGATATTCCTGCCCTTTTCCAGGCGTGATACAGGCTTCTGTTTCTCCAACTGACAACATTCTTCGGACTAGACTGGTTGTGCTTTGATTTTTCCCCAAACGTTTGATTTCATTATATCCCTGGAGAGTTCTTTGCTCTTTTGTTTGCAGGTTGAAGTATTTTGTCCTTCTAAACCCACATGGTTTTGGAGGGAGCATCATCGGAAACACACACCCACAAAACCAATTCGGCTTTTTTCCTGAAGGGGGGCAGTTAGTGCTTCTTAAAAAAGGGTTCTCTGCCACCCCTTACAGAAGAGAGGATTATATTTAGCTACTCTGTTCTAACTCAGGTAATAGTCTGCATACAGTAACTTAAAATAATGCTTCAACAGTAGCAACATATCTTTTGGTATATTTTATTTCCATGTAAAGAAAACTAATTTTTCCTTGATCTTCATCTTTAACTTTAGCTAGGATTATTAACTTCCAATAACTGGGAATTTCTAAGACTTTCACTCAGTTATTATGTGCAATTCCACTTTGCCTCCTCAGGACATTATGTGTACAATCCAAGGAACGCTGTGAGTCGGTGCTTGGGATTGTAGGTCTGCAGTGGCCGGAAGATACTGACTGCACTCAGTTTCCAGATGAGAACTCGGACAACCAGACTTGTCTAACACCAGATGAAGGTGTAGAAGGTAATTCCTATAAATACATATAACAGGAAATTAAAGATTTAATTAGGTTCCTAAAGTCACTGCTTTACTTTCCCCATTACCTCCTCTTTAAATTATAATATTTCAACTGTGGAAATAATTCCAAACTGGGTTTTAGGGAATTTGGGTACCTATAGTTTGCAGGTAAGAGGAATAAATCTATTTAAAGAAATCTGAGAAATCTATTTGAATGAAGGATCAATTGCCCTCCGTGTGTGAAAGTGAGTATTTGAGTTTTGTTGCCAACACCACACCTACTGCTTGCCTGTGTTTAGACTTCATATTTTTCCCTATTTAGATAAAATAATAATACTTTTCTACCCTGGAGGCAGACTCTTAGCAACCTTAAAAAAGCTGAGCCCCACAACAGCTCTGAGACAAACATTGTAATGTTAATGTATTTGCCAACTATTGTTTGCTCTTGGTTTTTGTTTGGGGAAAGTTTTGTAGAGAGTTATGCCAAACCAGCTTCAGTAGCAACTGACAAATTTAAGTTTTTGAGTTCAGCCATAATACTAATCATTGTGGGTGCGAACACGGAACAAAAGAATAAAATCGCCTTAAATGCTTCTAGATATTCTTTGTATGTATGAAGAGAGAAGCTGTGCAGCCCTTTCTTCTGCAGTGGTCATCACATGCGAGATTTGTGGGGATCCTGCCATAAGTTTTGTCTTGACAAAAAGCAGTAAAGTAGCTGGGGAAAATAGCCAGGTGTTGTGTGGTACAGTGCCTGCAATATGCTGATCGTGCTCAATTCTCACTCTTCTCCTCCTGCTCACCTACCTGGTGATGAGGCTCTTTCCACAGCCTTGATCTTGCTCAGAGAAAGCAATGGGGGAAAGCTAGTTGGTCTAGTTCTTTTAGTGAAGATGTATCGCTGCGAATATAGTGCAGAGATGAAAAACCAGTGAAGTATATGCAGCAGTTATTACTGTGTCTTCAAGCAAAGCCTGTGTGCCCATGTATCACTGTGAGGATTTTATAAAGACATATAATACCATAGTAATGAAATCCTTTGCTGGAGGACTCTTGAGAGACAAGGAGATAATGTCCCTCTACAGCAGTGGGCCAATGGAAAGCAATTATCCATATTTGCACAGCAGTGTGTGGGTAAGAAAGATTTTGACACAAGGTGAGTTAAAGAAAAATAACATGATTTAATTTTCTCATGTATCACATGTCTTTTAACCTTCCACCCTGTGTTACTAGATCATTTGGCTTTGACACATAGAATAGTTATACTATACATATAGAATATTATATAGAATTTGTATATATATACACACACACACACACTGCTAGAATTTTGTGTTGATTCAGTGCCAGATTTCTGCTGACTACCAATGTTGGTTAGAAAGTCCTCCCTGGGAAGTTTAAAATGTTGTAAAAATATGTCTGAAAAAAACCCCACATATAACAAAAGAAATTAAGCTTCTGAGAGCATTTAAAATGTTTATGATTAGAAATATAGGTGATTCTCCACCTTAAGCTATAGTTGACAGTTACTACAATGTGCTGAATTGCTTAACTTGTTCTCCAGTCAGTGCTGAATCCAAGAATACTGCTGGCCAAGACAGTATACATTGTAAACTTCGTTATTTTTGTAATGAGTTGTTATTCTTAAATGAAGGCAGTATAGATCACATACCTTTTATCATTAGAATGTTAGTTTCCAAGGCTACTGAGTTCATTGATGATATTTTTGGTACATCTGTTTAATGAATCCTCAAATTTACCGAAGGAACTGCATGGTATTAAATATCTGAGAGTTTCTACAGGAAGGAAAAAAAAAAAAAAGCAACGTATGATGGTGGTTGTACATGTAAATCAGTGACATGTACAGTGTGAAAAAATGGGTGGGTTTTTCAAAACCATCTAAATAAACCTTCCTCAAAATGGTACTCTGTAAGATGAGGCAGAAGCGATGTAAGAGTTAATTAGTGAACATTTAAAAAAAATTGTATTAATTCAAATATCCACACAATTGCCAAAATACAAATAATTTTTTTTTTTTTATCCTTGGGATCTCTTATACTCCTTTCAGCACATCAGATGATCTGTTCCTGCTTCGCACAACACCACTACAGTGAGAAAAGTAGCTAGAAAATCCATGCCCACAATCTAAACGTCTTATGCCAATTACTTGTCAAAGCTTTGAAATTCAACAGAGTATGTGAGGAGAGCTCTGGAAAATATTGCTCCACCCCATACACAGTGCAGGTGTTAAGAGTCTTGCCTGCTACATAGTTCTGGTTTACTATCGCACAAGCTTTCTATTCCTGTCATTTACCCTTCCCAAACAGTCACAGTGATAAAGAAGTAAGTGCCCTTGTGATGGTTGAGCTTGTTTCTCCCTGTTCCTTGTCATTGACAGAATGCTCACCCAGTCACTTCAAGTGCCGTTCTGGGAGGTGTGTCCTGGCATCCAGAAGGTGTGATGGTCAAGCTGACTGTGAAGATGATAGTGATGAGGACAGCTGTGGTAAATAAATTCAATGAGTTGGATCTTTTCAATGGAGAGTAGTTGAAGCATTAGAAAATGAGTTTTGTTTTTCCTTCATAGAATCATAGAATGGTTTGGGTTGGAAGGGACCTTAAAGACCATCCAGTTCCAACCCCCCTGCCATGGGCAGGGACACCTTGCACTAGACCAGGTTGCTCAAAGCCACATCCAGCCTGGCCTTGAAGACATCCAGGGATGGGGCATCCACAACATCTCTGGGCAACCAGTTTCCTTCAGAACGATAGCCTGAGAGTTGACAGGATACTGTACTTACCCTTTACTGCAAGAAAAATATGTTTGAAAGTGGGGTTTTTTTGAGACTAGAGACAGCAAAAATGCCTTAGCAAGCATCCTTCTTGAATAATGTCAACACAATTTATGATTTGATCATTTAGATCTAACTGTATTGCAGGATGTTTGTGTATTCCTTTAGTAACCAAGATAAAAATTCTGCAGATTCAAATCTTTTGATATTGCTGGAGATTCTACTGAGCTAAAACATGACTTCCTGGCAGTTGTAATCTCAGATTTATAAATAGAGTTTTAAACTTATACATGGTAATGTTCTCATGATGTATTGACCGAAGGTCTGTGTTGCTGAAGTGGATTCTGTACTGAGAATTACAGAAGAGTAATTACAGAAGAATAAGAGTCAAGAGTGACATGTTTTTTCAGATTGGTCACCCTCAAGCTGTAGTTGTAAGGATAAAGTGGTAACCACGAAGTTTATTCTCCAGTATATTTCTGAGTTTACTTAGAGTAGAGGTGCTCTTGACTTTGAATTTCAGGGGATGAATTGAGCTTGAGAATAACCAACAAATCTCTTGGCCACTCTCTATCCTTGTACGTGCTGGCAGGAGAATTTTGAGAAGAAGAGGGTTTATACTATTTCCTTATGTGACTGAGATAGCCTCCATGGAGTTCTGCATGCTGGCCTGGCGTACCTAAGGGAAAAGAGAATAATTATAAATCACTAAGGATTTGAAGAAGAGGTGTGAATATGAGTAAAGGATTGGAAAACATTCCAGCAGAGTAGGGCTAAGGTGTACGACATGGGTTTTTTTTTTTTTAATGGAGAGTAGGTTGCTGTGGAAGCCCAGTTTATGCGAGCAACAAAATAGTGGCAATAAAAGATTTTCTACTCAGCTGTAGGAAAAAAAATAAGATTCAACACCTGAAAGCTGAGGCTAGGCTAGAATTCAAGCTTGACAGCTCTATAAAATACCCCTTTTTTTAAGAGCAGGTTGTTTTAGTGATTGGAGTAACCTAGGGGTTATTTATCACTAAGGCAAGATTGTATCCTTAATCTCTGGGAGTATTTTAATCACTCTTCTTCTCTTGTCTTTCTGCCCCATTCCCCTCCTCCTTATACACTTACACACAAGCAGGATTTAATACTAGGTCATTCTTTTGTTTTGAGTCTAAAGGAAAGGCAGAGCTGATGATCACAGTGACTCTTTCAGAGTTTGTCACCTTTTTACCTTTGACTCAATTGTCTCAGTTGTCCTCCTAGACGAGTATTCTTTGTTGCTACTGGTTCTTAACTTCTTAGAACACTAATTGCTCTGCCTCTTGTAGGATAATTTTGTTCTCCTAGACATTAACATATGAAATATTGCTCTAATATATAACATTCATTTCTCGAGTGGATCTCTCTGTCTCTGTAGTCTAGACAGAATGTCACTAGCAATCAGCAGAATTCTTATCAGTTTCTATAAATATGGAAGAGAGTATCTGCTAGGAAATTACCACTGTCAGAGTGACATTACATTGTCCAGGGGTAATACTATTACAGAACAGAAAGTCCTTGTAAAGCTCCAGAAGTAACTGTCTGACTCATTCGTATTCCATGTGTGCATGACAAAATTGAAACTTGATCTTGCCATGTGTAAATGGCTAGCTCACATTTTATTAGATTTATCATTTGAAAATAGTCTTAAACTATTAAATAACAGTCAGCACTTAAAAACCTTGTATTTGAAGCGCCTTAAATGACAGGCATGGAACAACATCACAGTGCAGGGTGGAGGAGGCTGGAAAAGATCAGCCACAGCTTTTGGATGCTCAAGGTACTCTGGCCAAAGACGTAAGGTAGAACAGTCCAAAGGGACTAAAGCATGTTATGCCCATGCAGAGTAGAGCTGTACTCAGTACCCACTGTCTCCTTTTGTTTAGCAGTGCCTGTCATACTTTCATGAGACCTTTGTGAGGGGAAACCTCACCCATGTGATTGCGGCAAAACCCTATGACTTTAGTGTCACTTAGACTAGGATCTGGGGAGAAAGTTGGACCCAGATTTCTGACTGTGAGACTTCCTAGTGCATTTCAGTAAAGTGTGAGGAAAGTAATTTCTCAAAATTATTATTACAGTTGACGTCAAGAGAGCTTGTGGTATTAAATAGGCTAGATTGTTATTGATCGTATTAATTTACTCACTGCTGAGTAATGTCTCTAGCAGAGAGCAGAAAAGGATCCTAGAAGAGTGCTACAGAAACTGAGGACAGAACATTCAAACCCAGTATTGTTCCTCACTATTTTCTGCAATCTGAGTTCTGAGTGTAGTATTTTAGTTGAGAGAAAGATGTGATGATCTTACTGTTAATGACAATAATAATTGCATGGGGACTATATGTGTGAAAAACAAATGGTAACTTGCCTCATATTTTGAAAAAGAATGAAGGCAAGATCACATGTGAATACCTGTCTCTTGCCAAAATATATGTTTGAGATGGCATTAATGTAAATATGATCAAGTTTTGCTACTTCCATTTTCATTTCTATTTCATTGTCATGAAAATAAAAATCTATGTCACAAAAATATTTAGAGAAGAAATATAAATACACCAAATGGTAGATGGCTTCCACGAACAAAACAGTCTATTTGAACACTGAATTCAGTAAGTAGTGACTTTTTCCTAGGGAATTGTCTCTATATTTGTCTATGTTGTACTCAGAGATAAATTTTGGAGAGTTATGGTACAGTGTGACACTATAGTGTGTGATGAAGGGGAAAAGCAAACATGTATTTAATTAATTGTAAACAATCTGCTAAAAAATGCAATAATAATTTCTTTAAGCTTTTTTTAAAATTATTTTGATATGAAGTTCCTAACATGACTGACATTCTTTGCTCTTTACTGGACTAAAGGTTTTGTTCGGTTCCGCTTCATTTTTATATTAATAGCTATCGCAAATACTGTCAGGAAGGAGACCTGGATAATAGTGTTAACAAGAATGTGCGTGGACCGTGTGGAATTAGTTTCACTGGTTCAAGGCTATTGATGTCTTTGTATTGTATCATTTATTTTCATGGTTTTTTGAGTCTAAACAAAATAAAGCACTCCACGCATCCAGTTATCATTCACAGCATCATGGAATGGTTTGGGTTGGAAGGGACCTTAAAGACCATCTAGTTCCAACCCCCCTGCCATGGGCAGGAACACCTTCCACTAGACCAGGTTGCTCCAAGCCTCATCCAGCCTGGCCGGTTGCACCAGTCCCAGCACTGACCCCTGAGGAATGCCACTCGTCACTGGTCCCCACTTGGACATGGAGCCATTGACAACACCTCTTTGAGTGTGACCATCAAGCCAGTTTCTTATCCACCAAGTGGTCCACCCATCAAATCCATGTCTCTCCAATTTAGAGACAGGTATGTCATGTGGAACAATGTCAAATACTTCACACAAGTCCAGGTAGTTGACATTGGTTGCTGTTCCCTTATCCTCCAAGGTTGTGACCCCATCGTAGGCAGCCATCATAGTGGTCAGGCATGATTTGCCCTTAGTGAAGCCATGTTGGCTGTCACCAATCACCTCCTTATCTTCTATGTGCCTTAGTGTAGTTCCAGAAGGATCTGCTCCATG